TATTTAAAAGTCAGTAAAGGGAAAATAATCACGTCATGCACACGTTCAAACTTACAAAAATAATAAGTTTACAATGAGCAGAATACAGAATAGATAAACTATCAGAAACAATTATATGAAGCAAACTACCACCGACCGGTCAAACCGACGAATTTTTTCATTATTTGTTGATCATATCATGTGATATCAAATTGATTTAAGCTTGTTCAATATAATAATATCATAAAATATATTTAAATTTTAAAAATGTTTTATCGTTTAAAAAAGAGGATTACAAAGTACATAATAATCCATCTACTAATCGTATCGTGCCTATGTTGTCTGTGTATATATAATAATCTTAATTGTATTAATTGTATTTTTACAGGTATCAGGAAATTACGCCAATAGCCATTTCGCCGAAAATTATTTATTCATTGTTTTTGTACATATAGAAACCTATTCTAGAAGAATCTTTGAATTAGCTAGATGATTTTATTAACCATTAATCTTTTTTTCACTTACTTTTTCGTGAATAAGTGTTTTCAGGAAAATAAAGTTATTTATTTATTGCTTTATAATAATATTAGTTTCTTTGAATGTTAATATAAAAATGTTAATCGCTACCATTTTCAGTGAAATGTAATTCGGTGAAATGGAATTCGGTGAAATGGATTTGGCGTAATGTGTCGTAACCATTTTTACGTAATAATAAAAATCATCAAATTTATTTTAATTTATACAAATTTATTTGGTATTATGCACTTGGATTTATTTTTTAAGCATATAAAAAATCGCTATATAAAAATTTCCTGAAACTTGATACTTATATAAAACTATAATTAATATAATTCGCGATACCTTCAAGTCAATTTCACTCTTATCTAATTTCTTCATTTTCCTCCTCAATAATACTTTTGCTTTCTTTGAACTTTTCTTTACTTTAATTGGCTTATTTGATCTTTTGTACACTATAAATCTTAAATTAATATGTATTATACAATAAAATAAAAGTACGAAACAAAAAATTGATCTTTGCATTTTTTTCCTATAATCACTTTTATTAGAATATTAGTATAAAAGGTATCATATCCACCTGAAACAAAAGTTACCATTGACTACTAGACGGTAAAATAAGTCCTTTTAGGAGACATAATAAATACGGTTAATAAAGAATTTCTTTTTTTTTAAAAAGATTTTACAGGTTCATTTATCGTTGTACAGATCGCACGTATGCTGTATTGAAAAAAAAATTTCATTTTATGCATTCTCACGCGAGGAATGCGGGTCCAAAAATTGACCACTTTAGTATATTAATTAAAATATTAAATTATATTAATAATTTATTTGTGTCCATCATATTATCTATGTTAATCATCAATAATAATAGTCTTATCTCTTATGTCAATCTATCAAGTATAACGACTTGATTTATTATGTGCGGAGTCAGTCTTTATCCGTATTTTTTTTTTTTTTGTAACAATCCGAATTTGTTTCATTAAATAACTAATTTATTCGTTAATCATATAATTGTTGATCATATGTATCATCGTAATTCGTAAACATTGATTCGACTTTTTTGGTTTCTTTTTCATATACGAAATTCTCGTGAGAATTAAACAAACATGATTAAACGGATATTATTAAACCATATTATTTATTTATCACAAAAAAAAAACTATATAAAATCACCCTTTTATTCCTTCCTTGTTAAATCAATAATTTGTTTTGTATTTTGTAAAAAATGTCTGTTTCTAATCGATCATATCAATCCCAACGCCACAAAGAAAGAAGAAGGGTAAGAAGAAAAATTATAATTCATCGAAGATCCGCATCGAATAATGACATGCTTAGAAGAATTTCAAACCTTCCCCAACAAAATTCGACTAATTCATTTGTGAATCAACTATTTAATGGGTCGACATTCTAATATAATTTCGACCTAAAAAATTTTACTATACCTTTTTTTAACGTATCTTAAATTACATCGAAAAGATATCCTCCTTTACATCTATATTTATTATTTATCGATAAATTTTTTTTATTACGATTACATACAATTATCAGATATCGCATGTTTGCTCTAAACTAAATTTTCATTTTTGATTTTTTATTAATTACGGTATTTAATTTGAATGTCCTAATTTCGGTCAAAATGCAAAAAAAATTCTTCGTTTTATAAAAAAGAAGATCACAATACAAATCGTTAAAATCGTTACGATAATATATATATATATATATTGAATATATCGAATATATATAGCTTAGTTAGAAGTTTTATGATTAAGCTATAAGTATATTTTTGATTATTATGATTTATGTGCTTAAAATCTTTCCTATGAAATTAAGACAGAATTAAATCAAGTTTTTACATGGCGGGTTAACAATATTGCGTTTCCTTTATTTATTTGTTTATTTATTTATTTATTTTTCAATATATTCTCTCCTACTTTATTTACCTTTTTACTCAAATAAATAAAATCATCAACGTTAGAAACGTGAAAAAATTTGATGCAATTGGCAAGCATATTATTTATTCAGAATATTCGCAGTAATTGTTTAACTTAGATGCGTGATCAATAATAATTCAATTACGGTATTTTATACACAAGTAAGGGTCGCATTCAGTTCATTTCACCGACAATCATTTTACCGTCAATTATCTCAGACAGACGTTTCTTAAATCTTATTTACATCTATATTTATTATTTATCGATAATAATTTTATTCACTCGAATTTAATTTTACCTTTACATTTTTTTTTGGAATTTTTATTCTTTTCAGGCACGACAAAACTTTATTGATGTAAAAATTGTTCGGATAACGTACAAATTACAAACTAGTTAAAGTACACCCATTCAATCTAAAGTTCACCCCTTTTCATTTTCGATGAGTTATACATATCTATTACGTAAATTAAAAATGTGATTTATTTTTAAAACCATGAAATGTTGATTAAAATGTAACTGGGTGTAAAAAAATGTCGCAAAAATATCTTGATGTTTCTTTGTTTTCGGTTAAAAAAAGGATTGCAAAGTACAAACCGTTAATCAGAGATGAAATAATCACACGCCATGATAAGCTGGGACAAAATTAATCCTTGCAGCGATCAAGCCAAAAATATAAATAGTAATACCAGCACCCCTAATCCTCCTATTACAGCGGTAGCACTTCCAACAATATTTTTACTAAACATTCGAGTTGTCCAGAATTGACATGGAACAAAAGTTGCACCAAGAATACTGGTAAAGAAACATACAGTAATTAATCCAATGGGACTACGTACAATAGCACTAAGTCCTACGGTACTATAAGCAATAGAGCCATGCATAACACGTTTTGGGCCGAAATGGTCACATAAATGACATAATGGTCCAAGAAAACGGAAAAATATTGCGGCGTCACATCTACAATGTCGCCATCGGTTTATACATGGGTTAATTTAGATCTTCCATAATATATGGTAAAAGAGGTACAATTGCAAACCAACTTGTGAAAGCTATGTGAAAGGGAAAGCCATGAAAATGAGATGCTCTCATATAAGGTCGTTTTCCTTAAGTTAGTGTTACAATCCGCGGATAATCCGTCATCTGTCATTTTCGGATATCCGTGATCCGTGATCCGTCTAACCTCAAATTTTGGAATTTTTTATAAAAAAAAATAAGATTTAAGGTTTCTTTGTAAACCTTCGTGTTAGGGGATGGCCAGAAATGACGTAATTTAAATTTAGGATTTTTGACCCCCCCTATGTCATCATTCATTTTAGGAAATGTAAAATTAAAATATAATTCTGGCTAGAATTATATTAACTACAAGTGTCTAAAAATGGAAGGTGTGTAACATCATTGTGGTCTTAACCCCCTTAGGAAATGACGTCATTTCTGGCCATCCCCTTATCTAGTATCAGCACAAAACAATTATTAGGCAATCGATTATTCATTAGCTTATCTATTTATAATTTTCAATAAACAGTTTTTTTTTTCGGTGAACAAAATCAAATTTCTGCCCTACAGATTCGATTTGAATATTTACAAAAACAATACTGTTCGTAAAAATTTTTTTAATTATCTACAATAGAATATTTCGAACAATTTTCCGATCAATTAATCGGATCTTTTCATATGATGATGCCATTTGTGTCTTTTATATACAGTCGACCCCCTATATAGTCACCCGTATAATCACATCATATAAAATTCCCCTTTATAAGCACACCATATTTTGGCCCAATGTACTAATAAATATATTAGAAAAACCTCCTCTATAATCACAACATATGACTTTTTTTATAATCACACCCTTTTTTTTCGGTCCCGAGGGGTGTGACTATAAAGGGGGCTGACTGTATTTATTTATCAGGAAAATAAGAATATTTGTTTCATAAATCAATTGATCTAATCTTGATCTAATCAATAATCTGTCAATGTATAAAGTTTCTATTAAAAAAAGTTATCCAATAGTTCGTAATCGAGATTACGATAAATAATAATTAAAAAATTTAATAATATATTTATTGATATAAAAGCTAACTTAATACATTTAAAAAATATGTATAATAACCATCTTAATAAATAAAACATATATTTTAGAATATAATTTACTTTATAACTTATAATAATATCATAGAAAAATAAAATATTGCTTTCAAGGATAAATTTTACCAAGTTTTTTAATACAAATACCGTAGGGTCTAATATCATCACTTTTTGGACTAATCCAATATTCGCCGATACTAGTGTTAATTTTATTTAAAGTTTGAGGGTTTACTCTATTTTGAAATACTAGACAATAAACTTCGTTATTATGAATAAATTTATTAGCAAATAAAGCCGCAACATTGATATCAGGAGTAGAATAAATTCCGTATCCAAATTTAAATCTTTTTCCCCTCGTAATATCAAAACCAGTTTCGGCAATTGATCTTGCATTAAATTTGTCTGTTCCATGATAAGAAACAGGCCATTCGTTTGGGTCTGATTCATAACGCCAAGATCCTTTTTTAGCTGCTTTACCTAACCAAGCATTATCTCCGTATTTATTTAATACTTTAACTGCAATTCGTTTCCAGCCGCACGGTCTGTGATATTCGTATGATCCCCTCATAAATTTTTTATCATCAACAATATTCGTAAAATCACAATCATACATCGGATCAAGGAAATCTGAATCGATAAAATTAATAACTTCATTATTTTGACCAATCAAATTAATCATTGCATTATTATTTAAAATATTATAATCTAATAATGTTAGATTATCTTTTAATAAAATTCCCGAATAAATCAATCGTTGTTGATTTGATGGAATTCTAGTTTTACTTTCAATATGAAATTTTATGACAGAAATTTTTGCGATAATTGGAACATTTTTAATTGGAATTATTTGTCCATTTAACGTACAAATTCTAATGACTATCATAGTCGGTTTTTGAGAAATTTGATTAGAATTTTGCTGGATTTGTTGAGAAATTTGTGACTGTTGTGAATGCTGCGATTGAATTTGCTGAGAAAATTGAGATTGTTGCGATTGAATTTGCTGAGAAAATTGGGATTGTTGCGATTGAATTTGTTGAGGAAATTGGGATTGTTGCGATTGAATTTGCTGAGGAAATTGAGATTGTACCGATTGAATTTGCTGAGAAAATTGAGATTGTTGCGATTGAATTTGCTGAGAAAATTGAGATTGTACCGATTGAATTTGTTGAGGAAATTGGGATTGTTGCGATTGAATTTGCTGAGGAAATTGAGATTGTACCGATTGAATTTGTTGAGGAAATTGAGATTGTTGCGATTGAATTTGTTGAGGAAATTGGGATTGTTGCGATTGTAGCGAGTGAAGAGTTTGCGATTGCTGAGATTGAATTTGTTGAGGAAATTGCACCTGAATTTGAGACAATTGCGATTGAATTTGTTGAGGAATGTGTGATTGAGCTAGTTGAAAAACTTGAAATTTCTGGGCAATATGCTGTTGAAATGGGAATATTTGTTGAGAAATTTGTTGAGGAAGTTGAGTAATTTGTTGCTGTAAAGAAGACATCATAAAATTATTCGGATTTACAATAAAACATTGCGTATTATTTGCAGAACAAAAGTGAGAAGATTCTTGAGTAGAAAAAGAGGTATCAGAAACAAATTGAGAATCGGAATAATCTTGATTGATATTTTCGTTTCCTTGCAAAGAATAATGAGGATTAGTATCGTCATTATTATTTTGTACTTCCCCACCAGCTAAATAAGAACTATGGAGAGATACTGGATTTATGTTTTGATAAATAGCGTTATTATTTCCATTTTGTATTTGATTCAAATATTGGGATTGTGATATAATGGGTAAACCGGTTAATGATTTAAGAGCCGCAGCGACAAGTGATGAATTTGAATTATCAAAATTGTTGTTGGGAAATGCCATCTTTGATATTTTATTTTTTATGAGAAAAACCATGGTGTATATATATTTAAACTCAATTAAATGGAAAATTAAATTTGCATTCAACGCTTTCCATTTTTGGAATACAAGAAAGTGATATTCATTATTACATAAATAGAATTTATAAACGTTAAAAAAAAACAATTTTTTTTATGAAAAATTTCTTAGTTTTCATGGTTTTATATTTTTTTATAATGCTGGTTATATTTAAATTAGCTAAGATATATCTCTAAAGATATATTATCACTAAATATATATCATTTTTTTCATATATATAATATGGGATATAAATTCAAATATGTGATATTCTAGATTTACACTAATCCTTTTTTGGAAATTAATACAAAGCCAGGAGTTGACTTTGTTAAAATTGCCAATTAAGGAGTCATTCATTCAAAGTGGATTGGATTTATCTGCAAAATACATAAAAAATATCGTTTATTTTTATATTAAAAAAAAATCACATAGAAAATAGATGTTTCTTGGTTAGATCTGATTTTAAACCCTTTCAATATTTTAACAGGTGATTTTGCTTTACCCCATCATCCCTTAAAAAAAAAATTTTTTTTTTTCTTTCTTACCGATACAGTATTAATACCTTTTATTATTAATAATTTTTCGATGAGAAGATCCAAATTATTGTAATATATTAAGAATTTACGATTATTAATTTCAACATAAATACAGTAATATTGTTTGTTAAATGTTAATAAATCTGTTTATCTGCTATTTATGCAGGAGTCCATTTAAAAAAAACCGTTTAAAAATTATTCATTATTAAAAAAATGTTGTGTTACAAATAATCTGATGATATTTTTTTAATTATTTGAACTTTAATAATGGCAGTATTTTCTTTCAAAACGATACATTGTAAAGATTCCTTTTAGATAGTGTTTCAAAGAGTCATATTTATCAAGAATATTTTCTTTGAATTCATTGATGGTAGATTATCTATTGTATTTCACAAAACTACGATTACAATAAAATAAAGTAACAATCAAAGTATTAAGCAATCGGAGCGAAAGTTGTGAAAGAACCGATTATCAACTCCGGTGACTCCGATTCACTGATATTTTCTGAAGCAATAATAATAAAAATTATGATCTTCGCAAAAATAAGTTTGTAGTATTCTCAGCAGGATAGCCAAATAACGAGTATCGTATTTGAAGCTGACAAGCTTAAACTTCAACAAATGCACTCATTATATAATTTCTCTCAAAATGAATGGATTCATCTTATAAGAGTTCAATATATTTACACTCCATAAATGCATACCTCCCTAAGTGTACACTTCCATTTTTTTTAATTTGGACCCAAGAGGAGTGCATTTAGGGATAGTACTACCCCCTAGATGGATTTGCAGATAAATTTGACTGCAATTTCTGAAAAAAAAGTAAATAATTATTGAGGAATTTCCAATATTGATCAATTTCATGTGAGGTGGAGGGGTACTATTTATTTATTTATTTATTTTATTTCAAAAAGCGTGCGTGGTTACCACGGCCATTAACTATAATAGTAATCTGTACATTAAAGAAAGTATCTATATGAAATGACACCCCAATACAGGACCACCCTTCGATTAGCACAACTAGAACTACGCTATAAGTCTAGGGAATGGAGGGGTATTCGCTATAGTTCGGGATTTTATATAAGTAAGTGTGAATCTGTCACGTGAATTCGATTTAATTATCACCAGCCAGCATAAAATTAAATTATTGGGAAATTTCAACTATGTGGTCACAGTTCGTTATATCAAGAATTTTTTATATGCATTATTATAAACGGCAAGTGGTATATGTTATATCGAGTTTTATATTTAGTACATTATCGAGATTTTTTAAACTGGTTTTTAAATAAAAGTTCGAGTAAGTTGAAGGTTTATTATATTGTGGGTTCGTTATATCGAGATCAGACTGTAACAGTTTTCCGATATGTATCATGGTTCCCATTCCTTTGGTTGTGATCAAAACAATTTCTAAACATGGAAAGGTGTAACTGGCAAAAAACTATAGTTCATAAATAATTAAATCATTGATACATTGTTGTTATTCATTTTACTCGGTATATCTATTATTTATTATATAAACTTGGATTAATTTTTTTTTTAATCAAGTGTCTGGATCCAATAAAATTATTTATATTTTTTACTTTTTCAAAAATTAAGAAGTTGAAAGATTGCCTCTGCTGATTTTCTCATCTTCGATTTTGTTATTATTAATAATGTGATAATTAGGTAATAAGCGCATTGTCATTCTTTTCACAACTTTTTCACGATATTCACGATATGTATTCAACATCTTACCAGAAAATTTCTTTTTTTGTGTTAAACTTTCAGTACAGGTAAACAAAATCATGGAGGTGCATTTTTTTTTCAAAATTCATTTATAATAAAAAGATTTATTGATTGTTTTTTTTTTCATTTTTCTTACTCAATATTATTATTTCATAATATAATAACCACTTTATACAAATATTTAATAATACTGTTTGTAAACACTACTAAGTAAGTGCTTTAAAATGTATTTTATCATCATAAGTGAACAATATTACTTAATGTATATAATATATAATAATGGATAAAGACTCTTATTATCTCTTATTATTAAAATTAGTTATAAAGAATATTAAATAATAAATACTACTAAAAGAAAAAAAATGACTACTAGCTATGATATTAATAATTATTAAATTCGGTGAAATGAAATGATTTTCGGTGAAATAGCCCCGACTGTGAATAAACTGAACCCTAGATATATATCATGATATTCTATTTCCACGTGATTTGATACTGCCGCCTACAACTAGTAAGTAATAAAAGACATTTTTATTTAGTTATTACTTTTATTGTTTTCTGCGTTGTAAAATGGAAGAAATGATCGACATCACAAATCACGTGAATGTGACATTTTTCTGCGGTGATACTGGGGAAGTTTAATTTACTTTACATTTTTACTGTACATACTAATTATATTAAATTTGAGCATAAAATGCAAATATGAATTTGGATTCATTTTATTCGTGTATTATTTCCATATACAAATTCTCAAGGTAGATAGGTAAACTGTACTGTACGAAAAGTTAAACTGTAAAATCGATCAGTACAGTACAATGCTTACACACATATATATATAAGCACTGTACGAAAAGTAAAAAAAATTCGTATCATACAGTACAGTTTAAAAATTAAATCACGTGATTGAAATATAATTTAACTTATGAGAAAACTTAACCTAGACCGAGGGGTTTAGGCTTCTTATCTTAAACCTTGTGGCACAGCTGATCATTATCAGCCTCATTTGTTTATTTTTTTTTTTTTCACAGGAAATAAACGCTACGCTCACTCTCTTTCTTACACTGCTCTTTCATTTGTTTTTTTCTTTTATATTATTTTTTTTTACACAAATTATTTTTCTTTTTTTTTATATTAAATATTTTTTTATTACCATTATTTTCATAATAGTGTATATTAGAACAATTAAAAAATCTTTTTTATCAAAATTTTAAATCTAATAAATAAAAAGTGTTTTTTCTTTAATAATTACGCTTTATTCTGGTTTCTTTGAGTTTTGGATTAAAATTATTATGTATTGTTTGAAACTTCTTTCAACTAAAGTTTGTGATTTTACTAACATGTACGTGCTTTTTGTAGATATTCATGGTATAATTTTAGCACTTTGATTAAATTAATTATAAAATTGTTTGAATACTCATATTTACAAATTTTCAATGGAAATTTGTGAAGTATTCTCATTTTAATAATGGTATTTTTTTTTTTAATACAAGGTTATTTTGTAAGGAGAGAATAAATAATAATATAATAGATAATTCTTTACCCAGTTGTCAAATATCTCTCAAATCTTTTATTTTAAGAAAGCGAAACTTAATAAAGTTTTTTTAATATATGAATGATTTACTTATTTATAAAAATAATATTTGATAAATATTTTTAATATTTGGTTTAGTTTATTTTTTTTTGTCATAAAATATTCCAAGAAAAGCGCTTATACTTCTTATCTCATTGTGAAATATTTCTATAATAAAAAAATTAATTTAAAAATCTTGAAAAATTTCTATAAAAGTGTATTAGCGTATAATGTATTATAAAAAAAATTTATGAAAATTTTCAAAGATAAAAATGTTACGCGCG